CCAGGAGGAAGCCCCAGGAGGTCACCAGGAGGCCCCAGGAGGCACCAGGAGGCCCCCGCAACTCGGAGCTGTGAGACGCCGCGCTCGAGGTGGTCCGGCCCGTTTCGCCTGAGATTTCCTCGCGCCACGTTTCGCCAGAGACATCGCCGCAACTCTGGGGTCCGAGATGCCGCGCGCGAGGTGGTCCAGCCCGTTACGCTGGAGACATCCTCGCATCTCTAGGCTCCGAGATGCCGTTCGGGATGAAGAGGAGGTGGAGGAGGAGGAGGAGGAGGAGGAGGAGGAGGAGGAGGAGGAGATGGAAGGGAGAAGGAGGAGGCGGATGATGTGCATGAGGGAGCAGGCAGGAGGAGGGGGAGGCCCCAGAGAGCTCCAGGAGGCCGCAGGACGCCCAGGACAGGCCCCAGGGGTCTCCAGGAGATTCCTAGGAGGCCCCCAGGAGGCCCCAGGAGGCCGCCTATCAGAACGTGTCAAGTTAATACACATCCGGTGTCGATTCGTTGATTCTTCCTGCTCTTGTGCCCCCCCTCCACTTGGAGAGGCCCAAACGGCCACAGGTTTGATATCCACCCTGAGAACCCCACGAGGCTTCAGGAAACCGTAGGTGGAGTTCAGGAGGCCACAGGAGGCCCAGGAGGAAGCCCCAGGAGGTCCCCAGGAGGCCCCAGGAGGCACCAGGAGGCCCCCGCAACTCGGAGCTGTGAGACGCCGCGCTCGAGGTGGTCCGGCCCCCGTTTCACGTGAGATTTCCTCGCAGCACGTTTGCCCGAGAAATCGTCGCAACTCTGGGGTCCGAGATGCCGCGCGCGAGGTGGTCCAGCCCGTTACGCTGGAGACATCCTCGCAACTCTAGGCTCCGAGATGCCGTTCGGGATGAAGAGGAGGTTGAGGAGGAGGAGGAGGAGGAGGAGGAGGAGGAGAAGGAGATGGAAGAGAGAAGGAGGAGGCGGATGATGTGCATGAGGGAGCAAGCAGGAGGAGGGGGAGGAGGAGGAGGAGGAGGGAGAAGGAAGGGAGTTGCAGGAGAGGACCTAACGGGAAGCGAGTGCGATGTGGACTTGTCAAAACGTGTGCGAAAGATTGTCCGGCCCGTTTCGTTTGAGACATCCTTCCAATACTGAGCTCCAAGATGTCGCTCGCGAGGTGGTCCGGCCCGTTTCGATTGAGCCATCCTCGCAATGCGAGGCTCGAAGATGTTGCGCGCGAGATGGTCTGGCCCATTCTGCCTGAGACGTTTCGTAGCACAGGAGCTCCAATCACAACCTCTCTCATTCCTTCTCCCGCCTCCCTCTTCCCACTTCCCGCCTGGTTCCTCTTCCCTCCTCCCTCCTCCCGCCTCCCGCCTCCCGCTGCTGCGCCTCTGCCTCCGCCTCCCCGTCCCCGCCGTCGTCGTTTCTGCCGCCTCAGCATCCGTCATGCGCGCACTGCCTTCCGCCCTCCCCAGACATCCGACGTCACGATTTTTCCCCAAACAGCTTGCTGAACGGGGTGCTGTTGTGATAGAAACTAACTCCGGCCGAGGGAACGCGGAGCAGAGACACGGGAGTTCGCTTGTTCTCGCCTGATGAGAGACATCCTGAGAACTCTCTGAGCCGAGGTGCCGTGAGAGACGTTTCGCCTGAGCGAAACTCTGAGACGATCCTGCGACACGAGAATCCTTCTGATGGTGGTGGTGGGCCGTTCGCTCTGAGACGACTCGCCTGAGACAGAGCTCTGCCGTTGGTCCGGCCTGTTTCGCACAAGACATTCTCGCAACTCTGAGCTCTCCTGCGCAAGAGGTGGTCCAGCCTGGGGGCCCAGAAGACCACATGTTACATATCCTCCATGGGACCCTGCGAGCCTCAGGAGGCCCCAGAGAGGTCCAGGAGGCCGCAGGACGCCCAGGACAGGCCCCAGGGGCCCCCAGGAGATTCCCAGGAGGCTCCCAGGAGGCCCCAGGAGGCCCTCTATCAGAACGTGTCAAGTTAATACACATCCGGTGTCGATTCGTTGATTTTTCCTGCTCTTGTGCCCCCCCCCTCCATTTTGAGGGGCCCAAGCGGCCACAGGTCAGATATCCCCCCTGGGAGCCCCAAGATGCTTCAGGAGACCTTACGTGGAGTTCAGGAGGCCACAGGAGGCCCAGGAGGAAGCTCCAGGAGGTCCCCAGGAGTCCCCAGGAGGCACCAGGAGGTTGTAGGACGCCCAGGACAGGCCCCAGGGGTCTCCAGGAGATTCCCAGGAGGCTCCCAGGAGGCCCCAGGAGGACGCCTATCCCTATCAGAACGTGTCAAGTTAATACACATCCGGTGTCGATTCGTTGATTCTTCCTGCTCGTGTGCCCCCCCTCCATTCTGAGAGGCCCAAACGGCCACAGGTTAGATATCCCCCCTGGGAGCCCCAAGACGCTTCAGGAAACCCCAGGTGGAGTTCACGAGGCCACAGGAGGCGCAGGGGGAAGCTCCAGGAGGTCCCCAGGAGGCCCCAGGAGGCACCAGGAGGCCCCCGCAACTCGGAGCTCTGAGACGCCGCGCTCGAGGTGGTCCCGCCCGTTTCGCCTGAGACTTCCTCGCACCACGTTTCGCCCGAGACATCGTCGCAACTCTGGGGTCCGAGATGCCGCGCGCGAGGTGGTCCAGCCCGTTACGCTGGAGACATCCTCGCAACTCTGGGCTCCGAGATGCCGTTCGGGATGAAGAGGAGGTGGAGGAGGAGGGAGGAGGAGGAGGAGGAGGAGGAGATGGAAGGGAGAAGGAGGAGGCGGATGATGTGCATGAGGGAGCAGGCAGGAGGAGGGGGAGGCCCCAGAGAGCTTCAGGAGGCCGCAGGACGCCCAGGACAGGCCCCAAGGGGTCCGCAGGAGATTCCCAGGAGGCTCCCAGGAGGCCCCAGGAGGCCCCCTATCAGAACGTGTCAAGTTAATTCACATCCGGTGTCGATTCGTTGATTTTTCCTGCTCTTGTGGCCCCCCTGTATTTTGAGGGGCCCAAGCGGCCACAGGTTAGATATCCCCCTGGGAGCCCCAAGACGCTTCAGGAAACCCCAGGTGGAGTTCAGGAGGCCACAGGAGGCCCAGGAGGAAGCCCCAGGAGGTCCCCAGGAGGCCCCAGGAGGCACCAGGAGGCCCCCGCAACTCGGAGCTCTGAGACGCCGCGCTCGAGGTGGTCCGGCCCGTTTCGCCTGAGACTTCCTCGCACCACGTTTCGCCCGAGACATCGTCGCAACTCTGGGGTCCGAGATGCCGCGCGCGAGGTGGTCCAGCCCGTTACGCTGGAGACATCCTCGCAACTCTGGTCTCCGAGATGCTTTTCGGGATGAAGAGGAGGTGGACGAGGAGGAGGAGGAGGAGGAGGAGGAGGAGGCATGTTTTAACATGCCATGCCAGCCCGCACTGGACGGGCACGGAATCGACCTTGGAAACCGCAGTGGGTCTAAAAACCCTGTTTGGGGATACTGCACTCCGGCTATAATTCAGAGCACATGCTCAGGGCGTTGTGGAAATGCTAGTTTTGGGCCTCCCCCCCTCGCGCGGTCCATCAACAAGGACCAGTAAGCAGCAATGAGCAGAAGTGTAACAGTGGAAACTGGAAGCTGCAAGTGGTACAGGATACTGCGAACCTTCGCCCTACAGCCTGGTGGCCCCACAAGGAGGCCGGCGGATTTGTTTTTGCGCTTTTTGACATTCAGATATGTGGTGAGGGATTGATTCACACACACACACACAACGCCATTGCCCGTTATCGGTTCATCATATTCCTCCTCCTTTCCTCCTTTCTCCCTCCTCCTCTTCGCTTTCCCGCCTCACGTTGCATTGCATTGTAGTGCGGGCCGCCTGGGACTGCCAGAGGCTTCGACGCAACACCGCTTGCCGCTTCCACTTGCCAGGACACCCCCGTTCTTCCGCTCCTCATCCTCCTGCTCTTGTTCTTGCTCGCGCACAGGAGGGTGTTCCTTGTGCTCTGCTGTCTTGGCGCTTGGGCAGTATTGACTAAGCGAGCGAACCTTCTGGCGATTTCGCTGCTGGAGAAAAGTTGCAAGCTATGTTGTGTAGGCAATGGTGTTTACTTTACTATCTGTTATGTGAGCTACGGATGCGGAAGATATGCTTTGTAAGTTATGTTGCGTAAGGTGCAGTATGCCACATATATGTACATACATGCATTCAAATAACTGTGTGTACACATTTGTTCAGATTCATGCATCTATGTGCGGGGGTGAGCTGGCGTCTAACTGTATGCGGTGTGAGCTATGTAATGTAAGCTATGTCGTGTAAGCTATGTCGCTTGAGCCATGGATGTATAAACGATGCGGTGCAAGCGATGTGGTGTTAGCTATGTTTTGTAAGCTGGTGGTGTGAATATAGGGGGAAATAGCAGTCCAATTATTGAATAAACAGAGGCAAGAATCCCTAAGTGCAAGCACTGTTTGGGGAATAGAGAGCCCTTACTGACAAGCTGTTTAGGGAATGACACAGAGGGGGGAGCGTGACCTCGAATCGGCGATGTATCGCCGACTGATCTGCGATGGGCCTCCGATTGCGAGGCCGCATGCTCCTGGGCTGGTTCGGGCACCCAGGCCTCAACTGGCGACTAATGGGCGATTGGGGTTCCAGCGCCGACCCAAGAAATCCGAGGAGGCCTTCGAAAGTCGGAGCTTGATAGAACCCCGCCCTGCGAAGATCTGCCAAGTCGATCAGCGAATTGCCCTTTTTCAGTTCTCGAGACGGTGCCGTAGCCGCAGTTTTTGTGGGTCCCCTCGCCCGCTGGGTCTGGTCCCAGATTGTTCTCAACTGAGTGCGCTTCGGCAAAAGGGGTTCTCTCTTTGGAGGCGACTGGGGGGTCCGCTTTGGATGGGCACCAGCAAAACCAGTCAGCAGGGGAAAGCAGGCAAATTCGGCATTCAATGCCCAGCTGGAGAAGCCAGCCCAGAGGAGACAGGGAACGAAACTTGTGCACAATGGAGCCAGTGCTGCCCTACCTCAGCCCCCAAGTGGGCACCAATTCTCTCCACCGCCGGTGAAGGCAGAAAGCGTCTCCGTGGAGCCCTTCAACCATTTGATCCTCGACATATCCTCCCCGAGTGTGGACTCGGTGACGTCCGCCCTGGAGGCCTACTGCGGCGCCGAGACCGTGAACGAGGGGCAGGCCACAAAGCGGCTGCAGTTCGAGCAGCTGCCGAAGGTATTGATCAGAGACGCCTCGCGGTATACCACCGACCCCAGGTCCATTTCGATCCGATGCGATATCGATTCCAGCCAGCCCGATCCGATTCGATACTGTCCTTCCCAGGGTCAGCGTTGGTGTACAGTTCTCAGTGTGTTGCTAGAACGGCCTTCTGTGGGGCCTCTGAGCTAAATTGCGTATACAGTTGACTGGCCAGAAACTGAATGTCAGAACGAGCTTCACGCGATGCTCCGACGATCCGATGCGGCCAGGTGCGTGCATGGCGATGTCGTACACCCTGGCGCAGCCGATCCGATTCGATTTCGGCTCCGTGCCGACGCAGCTCGACGCAGCTCGATCCGACACACATTCCGATCGACCCGATGTCCCAATTCGATGCTGATTGATCCTCCACCCTGCGTCACCGCACAAGCACAAATCGTGAGGGATTGCGACCCCGTTGTTGCTAGCGGTGGGCCTGAGTAGGGGAGGGTGGAGGTGTGAGTCCATCATGGACAGAAGGATCGAAGGCTCGTGTTCGTCGTTCGCGCTCGTGCCAGGGGCCAGTTTGGTTTCCAGACCAGGTATGTTTTCCATTAATGTAGTGCGTACTGCGCGTCTTAAGCATAGGACTCTAGCAACCAACATTGCGCATAACAGCGAGGGGCGTGGCCCTGAGGCGGAGCTGGCAGCCGCGGGTGGAAGTGTTCGCCAGTAGTCGCGCCGAGCTATGCATGGAAAGGACTCGTTTTGGCCTTCCGGTGAGGGTGCCAGCGAGCATCGTGCCAGATTTTCTTGCACCCGCTTTGTTTGTAGCATGATTTTGGACCTCTTGTCAAGCGCAACCATCCAGCTTTCGCGCCGAAGTTCGCCAGAGACCGCCGAAGGGGTGAGTTAGAAGGGGTCCACGGTCCAATATGGCAGGTTCGTGTCGTGTCGACGCGGCGGCGACCCCAGTGTGGGCGTTCAAGGTTGAACGCCCACAGTTGCCTAGAATCGGTTGATATCGAACGATCTGCGCTGTCGGAAAGCTGCGATCGTTCAAGGTTGAAGCGGTGTCAAAAACCAAAACACAAGTTGACTCGAAACAAACCCGTCGTAGCAGGTCAATCGCCGGGCGATTCGTCAAATCATCAGATGTGGCATGCATCTTGCCCGCGGGTGCCTGGCGGGACGCATGCGGGTCGCATTGACAGAGAGGGCATGTTGAAAACGACGATTCCACACTGAAAGTTTGCCCAGCGCAGAAGCTGGTTGATCTTCTGGTGGTGGACAATCGCGGCGGGCATCGTCAGCACTCGGGTTGTTGGCTGGTCGTAGGCGAGTCGTTGGCTTGTCTGAGAGTCACAACTCCACACGCACGGGGAGGGTCCGCAGCAGGCGCGAATGCTTCACACAATCAGTGTGGCAGGCTGACTGCGGGCAGGTCGCACTTAGGCGGGCCGCGCTGATACGTGAGGCGGCGGTTCCACCACAAGATGAGGTTTGGTCCGCCGTCTGCGCTAAGAGTGCGCAAGCGGGTCGCGGGCACTTCGCAGGCAGGTCGGGGCCTCGTCGCGGGCCCCGTGCGGGCAGGCCGCGCGCGAGACTCGGGCTGGCCGTGGGGATGTCGTGGGCGGATCGCGAAGCTTCGAGGAGGCCTCAGGGCTTGTCCAGGGGAGGGGCGCTGGCGGCAGGAGTGCTGCCGGGTCCAGGGCAGACTCCTAGGGCTTCTGGTAGTTCTCTAGGGCTGTAGTTGGCTGAGGGAGCGCGAGCGGGCTTTTTTCAAGCTGTGTTCAAACTTTGTCCAACGTCTGTGAAAGCATTTGACTTTCGAACTCTCCCTGAACCTTTTGATGTTTTGGAACTGATGTTTTCCTTAGTTTCTGAACTCGAACTTCTAACTTCCCCTCCGCCCGCACCCAAACCGTAACTTCATTTCTTTTCCAGGAATGACAGCCTGTGTCCCCCTCAGCGAATTGTTTACGTTTCGCGAATCCCCGCCAGTGTCAGTGCAAGTGAGATGTTGATGCTATCTTGTTCACCGGTCACGGCTAAGCACTGTATGATCACAGTCCTCTAGCTAGACCGGAGCATGCTCCAAAATGGCTGTGTATATAACGTATGCAAGACAGGCAACCATAGCAAAGACGAGACAAATTCTCTGATTGCCGATCGTGTCCTACATGATTCACAAAGGGAGGTCGTCGAAACTATCGTACTGCCACACATCGTAGTGGTCGACGAGCCGAAATCCTTCACATCAGTAATTTTGGGTCTCGGAGCCCACAGGGCGGTTTTTCATGTTTTCCATTCGACGTTCCATGAAGCCCGATGTCATTCCGAGGCCGCGCGTCGAACGTTTTCGATGGCGCGTCGCGTTATGCGATGTCACGTGCGTTGGGGTCGTCAAAGGCTTGCGTGCTTGTTGCGGATCGGTTGATGTGGGCTGGGGTTTCTCAGGATTGTACATTTGCTTTGCGCTGGGGCGGTTTCGACCCCCATCCCTGGCTGATCCACCCCGCGGGTAACGTCGCAGGAAGAGTTCGATCATTTCGTTCGTAGTGCCAGCGATGCTGTCGCGGACATTGACCGCGCCACGGGGGGGGTCGTCCAGAAATGTCCTACCATATTGCAGTGTTGGTTCTTCGTTTTGAAGAGACACCGCCCCGCGTCATTCCTTCCAGCCCCCTCCCTCGTCCTCCCTCTTCGCGTATCTGCCCCTGCTCCCCTCGTGTCCCCGTCGTCATCGTCCATCGTCATCGTCGCCATCACCATCATCATCAGCATCATCAGCACTATCGTCGTCTCCATCATCAATACCACCACCATCTTCATCAACATCATCAAAACACCCCCTTTGTTCCCCCGCGTCTCTGCTTCGCCACATCCCCCGCAAGTCTCGTGGTCTTGTGACGTGCTCCACCGAAGGCCCCATCGGCAGGGTCCTTAGTGCGCCGCCCAGCCCATGTCGGCACGCCCCTCAGACGCTTCGTGTCCCCATGAGGAGCTCATCGGAGGTCCCGGCGGCAAGGTCCATATGCCGTCGCCCAGGCCACATTGATGACACCCTCAAACATTTCGTGCCCCCACAGGCAGCCCCACCAAAAAAAGGTCCCAGCGGCAGGTTTCCCAGGCCGCCGCCCAGCATATTTCGGCATACGTTTCACACGCTTCGTGGCCCCACGGGGAGCTACACCGACGGCCCCACAGGCAGGGCCCACAGGCCGCCGCCCAGCCCATTCCGTCATACGCTCACACGCTTCGTGGCCCCATTGGGGAGCACCCCCGATGGCCCAAGCGACAGGGTCCACATGCCGTCGCCCAGCCCATGTCGTCCACGAGTGGCGCCCAGCACGGCTCCAAGAGCGCCCCAAGAGGCGCCGAGTAAGTTGCACCCTCATGCAAATAGTTTTGTCACTTGTGGGGGTCCTCTTGGGGCCCTCTTGGAGCATTCTTGGGGCCCTCTGGGAGCGTTCTTGGGGCCTTCCCGGGGCCCCAGTGGGCCCTCGGAGGGCCCCAAGAACGTTCCCCGAGGGCCCCAAGAGGGACCCCCCAAAGTGGTACAAAGAATTCGCGCGAACGTGCAATCTGTTGTAGGCCTTTTCGGGGCCCTCTGGGAGCTCTCTTGGGGCCCCCATTGGTGGCGCCTTGGGGCCTTGGGATGGCTCCAAGAGGCTTCGGGATTGTCCCAGACCGCCACAAGACAGCCCCGAGACGGCCGTCGAGCACCACGGGTGAAAGCAAGTGAGGCCAGGGAACAGGGCCTCTGGTAAGCCGCCACTGCGCCCCCTGGACTACCCAGACAGCGAGGGGACCTGAAACGCCCTGGGGCTCCAGGGGCCCCAGATTAGTGAAGTGAAGGTTTTTGCCATGCAAGCACCCCGAAATTCTTCACTTCACTAAACCGGACCCAGGACGAACTCGCTACGCTCCAGTCCCGCGGGAGATCCGAGACTCCCGCCGCCGCCCGGGGACGCTGCTGCATTGCGGTGCTCTGGTCACTGTTAATGGCTTCCGCGGGCTGCAGCGGCTCACTTCCATGACTACCCCGACTCACGAATCCAGTGGTTGGTCTGGCTCTATGGGTTGGTTTCGTTGTGTCGGTTGATTTTATGCTTGGTTGGCGGTCGGTGGATTTCGCGTTGTTCATTGGTGTCGTGAAGTGATTTGTCGTTTGGTTGGTCAGTGCCGTTTTGTTGATTCGTGCCGTTTTGTTGGTTGGTGTCGTTTCGTTGGTTGGTGTCGTTTTGTTGCTTGGTGTCGTTTTGTTGCTTGGTGTCCTTTTGTTGGTCGGTGTCGATTTGTTGGTTTGTTGGTTGGTGTCGGTTTGTTGGTTGGTGTCGTTTTGTTGCTTGGCGTCGTCCTGGCGGCGTGGCCGATAATCGGCGGCCTGCAATGGCGCCAGGATTTGTTTCGGGCCAGCCTTGATCGCCCTCATCATTCTCATATTCGTCAGCGTCAGCACTCGTCGCCCCCATCCGCGCACACATGCGGCCCTGGCACGGCTCTCACGCGGCCCTGCGAAGGCCTTCACTGTGCTCCCCAAAGCTTTCTGAGGGGCCCCCAGAGGCCCCAAGAGGGCACTGGAAATTGTCGCTTCCAACTCCGCCAGGCGGAGGTCAACAAGGGTCTCACTGGTGCACTTCCAGGAATCGTCGTTCGATCCTCTTGGGGCCCTCCTGGGGCCTTCTGGAGCCGTCTTGGAAGCTCCGAGCGGCTCCATGAAGGCGCCGGGCGATATCGCTTCCAATTCCGCCAGGTGGAGTTAGACCAGGGGCTCACTGAGGCCCCGTTTTGCGCCTTCCTCTGCCTTTGAAAAAGCCCCGATGGGGTTCTTCAGTGCCGTTTTAGGGCCCCCAAGAGGCCTCCAGTAGGGTATTGAAGTTATCGCTTCCAACTCCGCCACGCGGAGTTGAACCCAGGGCGGCTCTCTGTGGCCCTTTCGGGGCCTTCTTAGAGCTTTTCTGAGGCCCTAAGTGGGCCCTGGGAGGTGTCATTTTCACGGGCGTTGAAAGTGACACCGCGGAGGGCCCTCTTGGGCCCTTCTTGGGGCCTCTCTTGGGTCCCTCTGGGAGCCCTCTTGGTGCCGCCCTGGGGCCTTCTCGGGGCCTTCTTGGAGCCTTTCTGGTGCTCTTTAAGTGGGCCCTGGGAGGTGTCACTTTCACGGGCGCTGAAAGTGACACATCGAAGGGCCCGCTTTCCCTCGTAGCGCTGCCCGTGGCCGGGGCATTGTGCAGCGCATCCCTCGTCGAACGCATTTTGTCGGACGCGTGGTCGAATTCCGCCAGTTCGGTCGAGATGGTGGTCAAGCGGTTCGGTTGCAATGTAGCCATGCGGATCTGAGCTTACCATTTCTTGCCATTTTGGCGGGGGCTCGCAGGAGCGTTTGTGTTGTGATCAACTGTGCTCGATATATCCAGCGGCAGCGTTTCATCCCAATAGACTATTTTGAAAAAAAATCAGCAGGGGCCAAATTGGTGATGTGAGGCAACATAGGTCTCGTAAGTGGGTGGCATACCCGGTCGGCATCTCGAAATCGTCGTGGTCCTCGTCGTGGTCCGCCGATGGGAAGAAAGGCTCTCGCTCGACTCCGTCGTCCAAAATGTCATCGCGGCCTTGTTGGCGCCGCTTCTTCGCTGAGGTGAAGGTTGGGTCCTTGACCAGCCGCCAGTAGCCTCGAGTCAGAAAGTCCGCCAACACGGACCGAGCTGCACACGATCCTTTTGTCAGTCCGTCGGCTGGCATGGCCTCCGAGTGAGCCCAGCGCAGCTCTGTAGCGGCCTCCTCCATCGCTGCGGGCCAGTGCGTCGTACAGGCCCTTGCAGTCGGTGACCATCGTCGCTTCAGCTGCAGCGTGCTTCGGACGTCCTTCAGATTGATGATGCCTTGCATCAGCTCCGTCCAGGCCA